ACGGCCGTAAACACTTCGACGAGAAGTGCGATTTTTGGTGTTTCAAGGCCCTTTCTAGTCTTCTGGAAGTGTTCTAAGCTTAGTTTCTATGTTTAGGAGGGTGTTGTGGCAACTTTGTGCCACTTAAATAGAGTTTACGGTCAAGGGAGATTGCCTTGACCGTAAACACCCTTCTGGTCATGATTTCTAGATGCTTAACAAGTGATTCTTGTATCCAACAAGCTAAAGGTAGAGTACTTACGAAATGGAAGCTTGGAAAGGATGGTTAGAGTCCCAAAAACACTAGTGTGTGTTCTTGGTGAGAGAGAAAATCTAGAAAAATGATGAGACTTATGAGCTAAGAATATGGATTTGCCACTAGAAATGAGATAGAAACATAATCAAGGTGAAGAATCACTTACATCCTTGAGGATCTTTGAGCAAAATCGAAGTTTGTAGAGAGAGAGAGTAGAGAGAGAAAGCCTTCTGGAGTGTGTAAAGTGAGAAATGGAGGCCACTCATCCCTTACATAGGGGTGAGTTTACGGTCAGGAGGTGGGTGGAGGGTTTACGGCCGTGAATAGCGTTTACGGCCGTAAACAGAGTTTACGGTCGTAAACCGGGTTTGCGGCCGTGAACAGCGTTTACGGCCGTAAAAAGAGTTTACGGTCGTAAACCGGGTTTGCGGCCGTAAACTCCTTTTGAAGAGTCGTTTGGCCCGAATGCTATGTTTCGACTTAGAAAACTTCGTTTTCAAATACGAAAGTCGATCGAACTGAGTTTAGAATATTCCGTTAGACCAAAAATTATACTAACGTGAACGGAAATAAATTCGAAATGATTTATTTAAACGTAAAGTCCTTCCCAAACTATCAAATTTGACAGAAATAAATAAGAATCCAAATTTGATTAACGGAAATTTAGTAAGGATAACGGAAAAGTTTCGGGTTGTCACATTAGGGCTCATAATGCCCCATTTATTAGTGTTTACGGCCCAAGGAGATTGCATTGGTCGTAAACACCTTATGATCTTGTGTTCTTGATGTTTTCTAGGTGTAAACTAACTGATTCAAGCATATAACAAGCTAAGGCAAGTGTACTTACAATATAGAAGCTTGTATGGGTGCTTAAGGTCCAAGAACACTAGTGTGTGTTCTTGGTGAAATGAAGAACACTTGAAGATCTATCAAAATGAAGAGATTTCATGGATGAAATCATGTACAATCACTAGATGTTGTAATATATCAACTAATCAAGGAAGGAAACACTTACAAAGTTGAAGATCAAGAAGAAAAATCGGATGATACTTGAGAGAGAATGACTTTTAGGATTGAAAATGGTAAAATTGACTAAAATGGCTAAGTGTCATATTTATACCTTAGAGTTTACGGCCGTAAACTCCATGTTATGGCCGTAAACACCAAACTCTTGGAGTTTTGAGACTTAAATGTTGCACAAATAACTCTAGAGTATACCTCCTATAATTACCTCTTGAAGGTACTAGGCTTAGAACACTCAAACAGACTCAAAACAGTGCTAAAAGTTAGCAGAAATAAGTCTGACTTAGATTGAAATGAATGATTGTATAAGATATAAATTTTGAGTTGTCACATATGAGACAAGATGATTGTGTGGGTTTCACTCTTTCTTACTAACTAACATGTGCACATTTTAATTATATAAGCTACCTTTATATAAATGGACTTCAATATTTCAAAAAAGATGTACACAACATATAAATCATATTATATGTAACGTCCCAAAAATACAATCTAAAAATTTTTGTTCGAAAACTTTACTAAACCATAATATAAAATATTAAAAGATAAACCCATGAATCATGTATCTCAAAATGTCATAATAAATTCATCAAATCAAAACTAGTGTCAAGATCATATAAAAATATCAGAGTCTAACTCCCAGGCTAAAACTGTGGTGTGTGCCATGCCATCATCCCGAGCCCTTCCCTTTGCTAGCTGAAGTACCTGAAACCAAAACCGAAACTGTAAGCACGAAGCTTAGTGAGCTCCCCCAAACTACCACATACCATACAATAACATATAAAGCAACTACTGGGCCTTGCCCACTGCATCGGACCGAAGTCCGGAAACTGCATCGGACCGAAGTCCGGAACTAACCAGGGCCTTGCCCTCTGCATCAGACCGAAGTCTGAAACTAACCAGGGCCTTGCCCTCTGCATCGGACCGAAGTCCAAAAACTGCATCGGACCGAAGTCCGGAACTAACTGAACATAGCATAGCATAATCATAACTACTAGCATAAACACATATACTGCATACTGCATCGGACCGAAGTCCGGAACACATAACACACATACATGCTTGAGTCACGAAGACATCAAGCACACTGAACTACTGCATCAGACCGAAATCCGGAACTACTGCTAACTAAACGGGCCGACATTGTGGCCGTAGACCCGTTCCTACTGGAAGGAAAACTCACCTCGTAACGCTGGCTGCTGAGATGCTAAATCTGAAACTGTTTGACTGCTGCTCCGGAACTCCCCGACTACAAATCCCATAAACATCAAATCAAATACTGATAACTAATCTCAGGGTAAAATGACTATTTTACCCCTGGTCAAAGTCAACTTCCTGGTCAAAGTCAACTTTCAGTTGACCGGACTCGCCGAGTTGGGCCGCCAACTCGCCGAGTCCCTATCATTCTTTCTAATCCTCTAACTGCTTCTACTCGTCGAGTTTGGTAAAGACTCGACGAGTTCTTCTTCGATACTAACATCGAGTCTAACTTCATCCGACTCGCCGAGTTGTATGAACAACTCGTCGAGTTCTCCTTCATCATAAGAACACGTCCTGACAGTGACTCGCCGAGTTGTATGAACAACTCGTCGAGTCTGTTCTTGAGGCAAGAAGATTGCCTTGGACTCGCCGAGTCACAGCGTGGACTCGCTGAGTCTCCTGCATGCCATTACTATACAGTCGATTCTAGTCGATTTCAGTGCATCCAATTCATAGATCTGGGCTTCTAGGTTGGTTTTGCACGTAAAGTTTCCAACTTTACGTGCATGCACACGAGAATGGGGCTAAAACACCAAAATCATCCAACACTAAGCATTTAGGGTTTGGAACAAGGCTATATTTGCATAAAGGTAGTTTATATTGAGTTTCTAGAGTTCAATAACATTCAGATCTATGGTCTCCATCCAAAGGAGAGCTCAAATCTCGAGTTGAATCATATAAAGCTCCAAAAGAGACAATAACAAGCATAAAAGAGGGTTTAATGGAAGAATAAGCAAGGTAATAACTTTATTACCAGAGTATGTAGCAAATGGAAGCTAGATTCTGGACCTCCTTTCTCTTCTATTGGTCTTCTTTCCTTCCTTCTCTTCTACAACTTCCAAGCTAGCAAAAAACACTCAACCTCAACAATGGGGACTAGGGTTTACAGAGATATGCTCTAGAGGTGTGGAGGCTGGGATGGGAGACTATAATGACGTTTAAATAGGGTACAAATCCCTGGGATTTAGGGTTTCATCCAGACTGGTGGACTCGCCGAGTCCGGAATATGAACTCGTCGAGTCGCCCGCTAAAAACGCGTGCAAATCCCGTCTCTACTCGACGAGTCGGGCTACTGACTCGTCGAGTACCTCTTAGGAAAGGAAAATACTATATTTAAATTACATACCAGAAATGGGGCGTTACATTATATGAGTTTCTAATTGTTATTCTCTTTAGAAAATATTAATAATGTAAATAAATAATTTCTAATTAAATACAAATGTTGATAATATTTATTAGTAATCAAATTCTAGTAAATAATCAATAAGTAGTAACCTGCTATAAGGTGTGACTCTATATGATTACATGTCACTAACAAATATCATTTTATAATGACTACCAAGCATATATATATATATATATATATATATATATATATATATATATATATATAGAGAGAGAGAGAGAGAGAGAGATTTCAATGAACAAAAGAAAGTAGTTTTGAAGATACAACTTCAACATTATTAGATTGATGTCGTTCATCATTCAAATTATAAACTATTGCCTTCTATGTTAGAATTGTGTCAATGATTGATAAAGATTAGAAGGGTAGCGAACTTTCGTATTATTTATCGAGTAGCTAGTCTTATACTTACTCTTTTAATTTCTCCTACTACAACAAAGAGATCATTTTCAGCAATGAACCTCATTAAAACAAGGTTACATAATAAAATGGAAGACAAGTTTTTGAACGACTCATTGGTTTTGCACTTCGAAATAAAACTTGCTGAAAATATCAGTTTAGAGACATCTGTAGAAGACTTTAAAAATGCAAAAGATCATCGCGTTCACTTTGATAACCGATATAACAGTCTTTATATTAATTTTCTTGTTTACATTTTTGACATGTCATGATTTTGAACCAAATAAAACTTGTTTATATAGTTTAATTATGAAGTTTTGATTCCGACCCCCTATTTGTAGTGTTTGTGTTCCGTAACTGATTGGAACACCATTGCAACAAAACTTATATGGCATGAGGTCATTATGTCATTGGTGAATGCTCATTTTGGCAATAATCACAAATTATGTAGCGCCTATAGAACGTGTATCTTTTTTGAAAGAGAATACATATATTTGGCTATCTTTAAATAGATTATCAAAGAAATTGGTTATTTTAAAATTTGATTATTTTAACTTTAACAAATCAAAATCAAAATTACTAAAAAAAATAAATAAATAAACACCAACCCTATGCATTAGTATATATTATTAATTCCCAAAGGGTTTAGGGAACAGTAAGGTTTCCTACTTTTTGTTTTGGCCACATATTTTTCTTTGTTTACATTTTTGTGGCCGAACTCTACAAAATTTATGTTTTGGCCACGCTTTTCTCCAACGTTTAACGACTTTTTCAGTTCCACGTTTTTCATTATATTATATTGTCAATTAATTTATTTTTGGCTTGCTCACCACGTGTCCGTCAAATACGTGCTTACTCATCACATTGTCCCAGTGATCTTGCCACATCGATTATAAGGAAATGACCCCACTCCCATCGTCCACCCTAACATCACCCCACTACCCCACCTCTATGAAGCTGGAATGTGAAAACCTTTCCCTCTTTCTCTCTTCTTCTTTCATCTATGCAGAACTGCCGGCAAGGTCATCTTCTTCCGGCGAGGTCATCTTCTTCCAGAACTATTATCTTCCTCCGAAGAGCTTCAGAAAAACCCATCCAGATGTGGTCGATTTAGTCAATGTTGTTGAATTCTAAGATCTGACCTCAAAAGAAGCCTCACAAAATAACGAAATTTCACTGGTGGTTGATGTGGTGAATCTAGATGTCGTTAAAATTTCACTTGTGGTGGAATTTCGGAAGTCGCCACCACTCTATACGCTAAAATTTCATCGCTTGTTGAAAAAGGAACCCCTGAAGCGTCCGCGAATAACCACGAAGACCAAGAAGCAGTCGGTTTCTTCCAATTTTGTTGTCTTTGGAGTTTAGTTATTTGGTTTGAAATTAGTTTAACAAATTTCAAGAGTTTTTTTGGGTTATCTTTAATTAAGTCAGTATATTGGATTTTCATCTGCAATTGGTACTAAGATTAAATTGTTTATTTCTATTGATTCTCATGATTTCAACTTTTTTTTGTTCTTCAAGGATACAAAAGGTTAGTAGATATGAAAATGTTAGCATATATGAATCAAACGGTAAAACTTGCAAAGATTGGATTGTTTATTTCTCTTTTAAATAATTCGCATAAATAGCTTATTGATTAGTTTTTTTAATTGCAGAATTTGACAACGTGTGATCTGTTAAACCGACCAACTATCTCTGTTACATAAATCTGAACAGGATGCTGATAATATTCCTACTCCAATTGTTTTAATTGATCAACGTTCAAATCCATATGTAACTATTGTACATGTTAACTTTTTTGATCGTCTTGGTGCCCTCATTCATACGGTAAATGACAAGTATACTTAGTTTTTTACCATAATACCCTTGTACTTTTGAACAAACAAGAAAATTTCTGTAAGTTATGGCTAATAACCTTAAATTTCTCATGCAGATGAAGGCGTTGAAGGATCTTGACTTTACATGTAGCAAAAGGAACTGTCACAACTGAAGGATCAATCATTGAAACAAAATTCTTTATTAGTCGATTGTGAGTATGCTTTATAGTAATTATGTGTCACTTTTTTTATGTATATATAATGGTGTTTTTTTGATTTTTTATAGATCAACTAGATGAAAAGTTAAAGCATCCTGATCTCTTGGAGAGAATCTGATTGACCATTATAAACAACCTCTTCAAGTATCATCCGATATTTATACTTACCTTATAATTCATGAATAATTGGTTCATGTTTATAATTTATTAATTAATTAGTTAATATTTTTATTATTTCTTTCTTTCTGCAGGTTTATTTTCATAGATTGCTTCAATGGAACTCATCCACTTGCATTTGTTTGGATATGGTATGCATATTTGATTTACAGGGTAATCAATTCTTCTCGTTAGCAAAGTAATCTTAAAAAATACCCCAAAATTATGTATCTTTGCTAATGAGATCGGCCATTTTCTTAGAGAAAACAAGTTGCATTTGTTTTTTCCAACGGGTTGTTTTTCTTTTTGATTTATTTTAATGATTTATTACTTTTACAACTATGACACTGACAAGGAAAAAAAATCAACTTACTTTCAATGTTACACATTTCTTTTCTTTTATATTTTGTTTACCGGAAATCTTGGGAAGTAACGCAAGTGCATTGCTATTTTCATATATTCTTTATTGATTATATTTTATTATTACTAACTAACTTCATATGTGTTTGTTAATGTTGCTTGCAGGCGGCACGTAAAAATGCACGAGAAAGAAATGAGGCGAAAAGGGTTGTTGAATTATTATATCAAACATGTTTGGTCTCTAGCAGATTTGCTTTGAATTTTATTATTATTATTTTTTTAAATTATTTTTCGTCTACATTGTGCTGAAATTGTAAATTAAGTTTGTTTTATTGGAATGTTTATTTATAATAATAATAGTCTGATTTAGTTTGAAACCAGAAAGTTCAAAAAAAAATTAAATTGTCCGATCTTCTTTGAAGGTGAATGCAGAAAAATCAAGAATAATACGTTGCCATTTAGACCATTTATTCGACCCCGCTCCAACGGCGCGAAAGGTTTTTTCTAGTTTTCATTAATCGATATTTTAAATAAACTATTTAAGACAATAAACAAATTTAAAACACATGTAAAATAAATAAAATTCACCATGTGGTTTAATGAAATGTGGGGAGTGTTCGGTGTCACTTCCTATAAAGCCTTTTTTTTTTCTTCAATATTTTAACCCCGGAAAATCCACCATTTCGGACCTCCTTTCTCTCGTTCTCTCTCTCTTCGGTTCAGCCGCACTACTGTACATGCGCCTCCATATCCCACCATCATCAATCACCTGCTTCTGCTCTAGGGTTTCTTCTACACTTTTAGGGTTTTCAGATACCCAATCTTTCTCATCGTTTCCCATCTAATCATCCTCCATCCCAGGGGTTTTGGAAGAAGCTGGATAATCCCCTCACTTTTCTCAGAAGAATCTCCATGCGCCGCTGGTTTAGCGGCTTCGTTGATTAGGGATTCACTTGTCTCTTTTTCAAAAGGTACAAATCTGTTCTCAATTTGAAGCGGGGCAACACACCGTTGTCCTATCTAGGGCTAAGGGTTTGTTTGTTTTCAATTGAATGGCATTGGGAGATTTGATGGAGTCTAGATTTTCGCAATCGCAGTCGTCAATGGTGGCGATGGTTTCTAATCAACTCGACGGGTATTCGAATTTGCAACATTCTAATTTGAATCCAACTGTTCTCCTTCAAGACGGAGTAGTGGCTGGTAATAGAGATAGAGATTCTTCTTCTGATTCAGTAGTTGCAGTACAGAGGAGGGAGAATCACATCAACAGGGAAAATAGTGATAGGGAAAGGGAAGATTCTGAGACTGTTGCTAGTACTACTAGCTATGGACTTGGAAATGGAAATGCGGTGGCCACTGGGATAACGGCTACCAGTATGGCTTATTTGCCTCAGAATATTGTTTTGTCTGAGCTTCGACATGATGCATTCGAGGCTTGCACCCCATCTGGTCCTGCTGAAAGTGGGTTGGTCTCCAAATGGCGGCCTAAGGACCGGGTAATCTGTTGTTTCCTGCATTTACCCTTTCATCATTTCCGATTTCCTTTTGCATTTTATATGCTTATGAGATAATCTGCTATCAGACAAGATTTATGCCTGTTTCTGTTAGACCTGTTAGTTTCCACTTTCCAACTAATATTGATTAGATGAGTAGAGTGACCTGGAATCATGTACACTTGCCACATAAACCTGTATTTTGCCATACCTGGCTTACTTGCACCAACAGTTATTAAGCAAAAAGCTTGTAGTGGGTGGTTTAGTTTTGTTAGTTGGAGTTCACATGATTATCAAAGTAGTTTGCTTTAGAGATTTGCTGGAGGCTTCTGTTGCTATATGCTAAACCCAACAGGCTATGAGTGTTGCTGTTCTTGTAATTGTGATCATTCGTTGCTAATACAGCTATGCATTTGAAAACAGAGGCTATGCTTTGCTGGGTTGTTATTGGTAGTGTATTTCTTTATAGTTAGCTCTAAAATGATGTTTTATAACTGCAGATGAAAACAGGATGTGTTGCTCTTGTTTTATGTTTGAATATCAGTGTGGACCCACCCGATGTTATAAAGATTTCACCTTGTGCCAGAATGGAATGCTGGATAGGTATAGTTATGACATTCACATTCTTCTTCTTGCTATTAACTTCTCTTCTTCAAGACTGTCAGTTTTTTTAGTTATATAGTGCTTCAGATGGTTATATTCAAATGTATTTGATTTCAGATCCATTTTCTATGGCCCCACAAAAAGCTCTTGAAACAATCGGAAAAACATTGAGTTTCCAGTATGAAAGGTGGCAACCCAAGGCCAAATACAAGATTCAGTTAGATCCTACAGTGGAAGAAGTGAAGAAACTTTGTACTACATGTCGCAAATATGCCAAATCTGAAAGGGTTCTTTTCCATTATAATGGTCATGGTGTACCTAAACCAACTGCCAATGGTGAAATTTGGTTTTTTAACAGGGTAATAATATGTTTTTATTTTCCACTATCTGTCTATCTTCATGCCTTGTATACAATAGTTTCCCTAGTCTAATTTCCTCTATTCTTCTCAAATGTTGTAGAGTTATACACAGTATATTCCTTTGCCTATCAGCGACCTTGACTCATGGCTCAAGACTCCCTCCATATATGTTTTTGATTGTTCTGCTGCAGGGATGATTGTCAATGCCTTCATAGAGGTATTATAAACTGTTTATTTCCTGACAACAATGTTATTATTGTTTGACTAAATGCTTGAATATCATTTATTTGTATATAGCTCCAGGATTGGACTCCCTCAAGTTCTTCTTCTTCAGGAACTTCACCAAGAGACTGTATTCTACTTGCAGCATGTGAAGCACATGAGACTCTACCACAAAGTCATGAGTTTCCTGCTGATGTCTTCACTTCTTGCCTTACAACTCCCATCAAGATTGCCTTAAGATGGTTTTGCACTCGATCATTACTACATGAATCAATTGATTATTCACTTATAGACAGAATACCTGGGAGACAAACTGATCGTAAGACACTTCTTGGTGAGCTGAACTGGATTTTTACTGCAGTTACAGACACAATAGCCTGGAATGTGCTTCCACATGGTATTATTGATAGACAATGTTTTCTTTTTTCCTTTTTTTTTTTTTTTTGACTATGGTTCTTTATTTTGGTGATTGAAATTTGAAACCAGTACATGATTATATCTTTTGCAGATTTGTTTCAGAGATTATTCAGGCAAGATCTTTTGGTTGCGAGTTTGTTTCGGAACTTTTTACTTGCAGAGAGAATTATGCGTTCTGCAAATTGTTCTCCTGTATCTTTTCCAATGTTGCCTCCAACTCATCAACACCATATGTGGTAAACACAGGAACTTGCTTATGATGTTATAATTCTTGAATCTTGATTATTTTGGTTATGGTTTGACCACATGTCATTACAGGGATGCATGGGATATGGCTGCTGAAATCTGTCTTTCTCAACTTCCAACATTGCTCGAGGATCCCAATGCAGAATTCCAGGTCTGAGATTAAATTGATTTTTTTCTAGTTAGTTCTTCAGATGCTTTCTTGATAAAGTTATTGATTAATTGTTGGTGTGGCATTAATATTTTTCAGCCAAGTCCTTTTTTCACTGAGCAATTGACAGCATTTGAGGTGTGGCTGGATCATGGTTCTGAACATAAGAAACCACCTGAGCAGTTGCCTATTGTTCTTCAGGTTTTACTCAGTCAATGCCATAGGTTTCGTGCACTTGTGCTTCTTGGAAGATTTCTTGATATGGGTCCATGGGCTGTTGATTTGGTAGGTTTTTTTAGGTTTTTACCTTTTACAGTTTTACTCAATCTGCATCACTTGTTACATGTTTCTAAATGCATCCCATATTGAATTAGGCCTTGTCGGTGGGAATATTTCCATATGTTTTGAAGCTATTGCAAACAACCACACCTGAACTCCGACAAATTCTTGTGTTCATCTGGACAAAGATCCTTGCACTTGACAAGGTATGACTATGTCTTCCCTTTTGTTACTTTTTCTCTAGCATGATATTGATAGTCTTGACTGATGTTGACCTTTTGAATCTACAGTCATGTCAAGTTGATTTGGTGAAAGATGGTGGACACACGTATTTTATCAGGTTTTTAGATAGTGTGGAAGCGTATCCAGAACAACGTGCAATGGCTGCATTTGTTTTAACTGTCATTGTTGATGGACACAGAAAGGGGCAAGAAGCTTGTATCGAGGCTAATTTAGTAAATGTCTGCTTAAAACATCTTCAAGGTGGTTCATCCCCTAATGACACACAAACTGAGCCACTGTTTCTACAGTGGCTATGTCTGTGTCTTGGAAAGCTTTGGGAAGATTTCACAGAAGCACAAATCATAGGCCTACAAGCCAATGCTCCTACTGTATTCTCCCTTCTATTATCCGAACCCCAGCCTGAGGTTAGTTAATAACTTAAAATGGTCTTTAACTCTTTATTATATGATACCATTTCTTTTCAGGTTAGAGCTTCTGCTGTTTTTGCATTGGGGACTCTACTTGATGTTGGATTTGACTCATCTAGAGATGGTGGAGATGATGAACGTGATGATGATGAAAAAGTTGGGGCTGAAATAAGTATTGTTAAAAGCCTTTTAAATGTTGTTTCAGATGGAAGCCCTTTGGTCAGAGCAGAGCTTGCAGTAGGCATGTTTTCACAATATCTACTTAAGTTATTTTCTCAACATTATATAGAATCTTAGATTAACTTTTTAAACTGATTTTACAGCTCTATCGCGCTTTGCATTTGGACACAACAGGCATTTGAAATCAATTGCAGCTGCATACTGGAAACCACAGTCTAATGCTGTTTTAAGCTCTTTACCTTCATTTACAATCAGGGGTTCAGTTTCTGGCTACAATACTCCCAACCAGTATTCCCAAATTGGTCCTTTATCAAGAGTAGGAGGTGGTGACAACCAATCAAATTCAAGAGATGGAAGGGTTTCTTCCGGAAGCCCTCTTGCCACATCTGGAATCATGCATGGATCTCCACTCTCAGATGACTCATCACAACACTCTGATCCTGGGCTCCTGAATGACATCATCACAAACGGTGTCACCAACCATACAACAAATACAAAACCACGCCAGCTGGACAATGCCCTCTACTCCCAATGTGTGTCTGCCATGTGTACATTAGCAAAAGATCCATCACCACGCATTGCAAGTTTAGGGAAACGAGTTCTTTCCATTATAGGGATTGAACAAGTTCCCACAAAGTCTGTAAAACCAAGTGGAAGTGTAAGGTCAGGGGAACAGTCATCAACTGCTAATAGTTTAGCTGGATTAGCTCGATCATCTTCTTGGTTTGATATGAATGGAGGTCATCTGCCTTTGACTTTTAGAACTCCACCTGTTAGTCCACCTAGACCAAGTTACTTAACAGGAATTGGAATGAGAAGAGTCTGTTCACTGGAGTTCAGACCACACTTAATGGATTCAGGCCTTGCAGATCCTCTTTTAGGTTCACCTGGAGTTCCAGGAGCTTCAGAGAGAAGCTTTTTACCTCAATCAACTATTTACAACTGGAGCTGCAGTCATTTCTCAAAGCCTCTTCTTACAGCAACTGATGGATCTGAAGAGATTATGGTTAGACGTGAAGAAAGGGAGAAGTTTGCTCTTGACCATATCACAAAGTGTCAACATTCTTGTGGGTCCACATATCAGTTGTGATATTACTTTAGCAATGGTTAAGTTGATATTTGATTTATGTATTTTTTTTTTTACATTTTCAGCTGGTAGCAATCTTCATAATCCAATTGCTCGATGGGATACAAAGTTTGAGACTGGTGCTAAAACAGCTTTGCTGCAGCCTTTCTCTCCAATAGTGGTTGCTGCAGATGAGGGTGAATGCATCAGGTATGCCATCTTTGTTTTCCTTTTGTCATGTTTGAATTGTTTGGAATTAGTTATGTTATGTCAATGTATGCTTTATCTTCCATTTGATTGATATATATATATATATATATATATATATATATATATATATCATATGCTTTATATATGGAAGTTCTTGTTTTATGATAAATATACCAGGATCATTGAGTGGTGGTAGAGTAGTATGTATGCCTGGGTTTTTTCTTGTTTTTCTAAAAGATTTCAGTTACAGATTTGGGAAATTGCGTATGTGAACTCTCAGTCCAGGTTGCATTTCAGAGGGGCAGGACCAAATATGGAAGTACAGTTCTGAATGCTGTTTAAATAAGGGTCATTGAAGTTCTACTTTTTAGGTCTAGGTTGGAAAATGTGTCTTGACTTTATGAATTTCGTGCAGAAGTTTTAGAGTGTTTTAAGTTATAAAGTACAAAAGCTTGTTGCCAACTGGATGGAGTATGGATACCAAATAATTTGGTGGAGTGTTTTCTACCAATATGTGACTACACCTTCGGAGTTAATGTTCCATTTGTTGGACATCTTTTTGTGGTTTCTTGACCAAGAAAAGCATATATATATATATATATATATATATATATTATATCACACCAAGTAAGTTCATGTTCCTTTTGAAATAATCAAGGAACTGCTTCTGATAGGGTAAGACTTTCTTGCATATGCACCCATGGTGATCTACAAGACTAGGACTCGAAAGATTTATGAGTTGTAGGTTATCACGAACATCTTTCTAGTTTCTACGACGTGACATGGAAAGTTTATCATATTGGTTAAGTATATTGTGTTTCTATTCTCGTTGATTTCTTTTTATATCTGATTTAGAAAGGACTAAAGGAACTTAGTAACTCGATCATGATTAATCAACTTTCTTTATCTAGGAACTATAATTCATTGAAGTTGGAATGCGTTTTGGTATTCTATAATTCAAAAATTTAGAACTCGAGTTTGGTTACCATGATATATTGTAGTTGACTGCTACCCAACAACAAGAAGTCTCAAAATCCCGTAGGAGTGGTGTAGGGGGAGGTAGATGTAGGCGACCATGCCTTTTGTGGGGGTAGAGTGGCTGCTTCATAAATGACCTTTGGCATAAGAAAAAGTAACAACTCTGTAGCCTTTATTTAGAGATGATGTCATTGGAAAGTGCCAACTCTGATATGTTTTTTCTTCGCGCCGTTTTTCCACTTTTTATAGGGTGTCCTTGCCTCTTACCATCAACCGTAACCGTCTCTACCATTGGAGCCGTCAATATCCTTCTTTGTACCACCATAATTTTCTTTCTCTCAATTTATCGATGTTTGGGGCAACTCCTAATGATTTTATGATCACCACATTCAAAATTCTATCTAACAATGTTCTACCACATATTCATCGGCACATCCTCATTTTCACAACTTCCCCTCATATTTCTTAATCGACCAAAATTTGGATTCATACAACTTCCACGCTGTAGAACTTCCCCTTTAGTATCAACGGAACCTTCTTGTTGCACAAAAGCACTCTACCCATTTTTTGTGATGTTCGACTTGAATATCTTTGGTTTTAGATATCATGAATATAGAAGGGAATCTATTTGCTTCTTAGTGAATAAAACCATATATCGTAAACATACATGCTTGAAAACGGAACCAACTTGTACAATAAATTGGTTGTACTACATATACATGTGTTACGAATCTTTGGTATTATTATCAAATCCCATGTTGGTTACATTCGCACTTTCTTCATTGAAATAATGTGACGCATCTTGCAAGTTGCAACAACAAACACCAATGGTGGAAAGGACATTTTGACCTTATACTACTCTGTTACCTTGATTTTAAGCTTCCACACCCTCCTATCTATCTATCTGAGGTCTTGTCGTCTGAAAGAGCCAAATCCTTCGACCCTAATCTCATGCTATCTTCCCACTTTTTTCTCGTGCATCCTCTTCTCCCCACACCATCGATTGTTTGTATTTTTAAAACAAGGCCATTGTTTCATCTTGAAGTTGGGTTAATCAACTTATCATGAAAATAAGCTGGCTAAGATTGGAAGTTCAATGTCTACATTCCACCAAGAATTGCAATCTCTTCATGATTTGATTTGAGTTGTTCATGCAAGCTTCCAGGAGTTATTATGAGTTTATGGGACTTGAGAGTATCGAGTAAAACACCCATAGTGAGTTTATCATATCACTTTTTGTTGGCAATGATAGCAGTTTTGTAATAAGGAGAAGATAAATTAAATTAGAAGGGGGTTTATATGTAGCAAATTAATGTATGGAGTCATTTAAGGTAAAAATTAGATTTTCCATTTTTATAATAAAAATAGCCATGTTTTACCACCGTTATATTTATATCAATAAAATTACAGCATGCATGTGCTTTATAGTTATTTGCCATCTCTGTTGCCACTTATTATTGCTCTATTAGATTAGAATGACATTTACTGTCTTATTGTAGCAATGAGCTTAGAAGTTTGATATTAGTTTTTTAGCATACAAGAAGCCTCTTATACTACCAAACTACTTATAAATTTGAGAATAAGACATAAAACACATGAAACCTAGTAGATAACATATAAAGGTCAGCCACATAAGGTTGCGCGATGTGGATGATTTATTTCCTATATAGTGCCAACTTGTTCGGTGTACTTTATTAATAAATAAATGACATTTCTGTTCATGATTGTTATTGCATGGCCTATAACATTTACAATTTTAAATGCATAGTCAAACCTTCCTTTTTTGTAAAATCCAGTATGTCCTGTTGCTTTAAAACCTTATTATTATATTCCTTCTATGGATCAATACAACACATGCAAATTTTTGTCGATCTATACACTGTCTAGTTGAAAATTTAACATTTATTGTTGATTCACAACTTTCACATGAATAAGTCCATATTTATTTTCTCACATGGTAGTCCCGATATGCGACATGCCACTAAATCTTGCATTGCACACTCTCTAAAACTGTCCAAATATGACTTTTATTATATTGATTTTCGGAAAATATAATCTACATATGTTTTGATTTTTTATGTAAATTTATCAATCCATTTCCATCTTTTATGGAAATAGATTCCACAGTTGATTTCATTATTTGTATCTGTTTGCATACATGTTTATAAAAATTCTTAACATTTGCGATGTTTCTAAATATTCCATTTTAATTTTGTTGTTTTATAGAATATGGAATTACGAGGAAGCTACTTTGGTGAACAGCTTCAGTAATCATGAGTGTCCTGACAAAGGGATATCAAAACTATGCCTGGTGAATGAGCTTGATGAAAGCTTGCTGCTTGTAGCCTCAAGTACGTTTACCTTTATATATATATATATTTATACTGATATAGTTTCTTTATTGTTAATATTATATACCTAATGAATACAGGTGATGGAAATGTGCGTATATGGAAAGATTACACTTTAAGGGGTAAACAGAAACTTGTAACTGCATTCTCTTCCATTCATGGCCACAGACCTGGTGTCAGAAGTGTGGGTGCTGTAGTAGATTGGCAGCAGCAATCTGGCTTTATGGTATCAACTACTCTTACTTTTCCTTCACTTTGATGCTTTTATTTTAGCCGGCTTCATTTGTTTATAATAATATGTTTTATTTATGAGTGCAGTTTGCTTCTGGTGAAATTTCATCAACCATGGTTTGGGACCTGGATAAAGAGCAACTTGTGAGCTCTATTCCTCTAGCATCAGATTGCAGCATTTCAGCTTTGGTAGGTTCACTTTGAGTTTGACCCTCATTGTCTTATATTATTATTATTATATTTTTTAATTATTTGATGTTTCTAATATTCTTTGTGTCTCTCTTTTAGGCTGCTTCTCAAGTTCATGGAGGTCAATATGCAGCTGGCTTTGTCGATGGTTCTGTGAGATTATTTGACATCCGAAACACCTGATGGGTATTCATCTTAATTCTTACCCTGTTACTAAATTTACTGATTATTTATAATTTAATTTAACTTAATGATTTGGTTGATCTTCATTCTTCAGTCTTGTTTGTGTTACACGACCACACACTCGAAGAGTAGAAAGAGTTGTTGGAGGTATAGAAAGAGTTGTGGGAATCGGCTTCCAACCTGGACTCGATCCCGCAAAGGTAAAAAATACAAAAAAACTTCAATTTAGGAATTTTTTTTTTTGGAAAGTTATAACGTTTTTTTTTAATAATGTGATTTGATTTCAGATTGTGAGTGCATCTCAAGCAGGAGACATTCAGTTCTTGGACATAAGAAATCAAAGCGACGCGTACTTGACCATCGATGCGCACCGCGGTTCATTAACGGCTCTAGCCATTCACCGGCATGCACCACTTATAGCCAGCGGTTCAGCCAAACAGCTCATCAAAGTCTTCAATCTTGAAGGCGAACAGTTAGGCACAATTCGTTACTCTCCCACTTTCATGGCTCAAAAAATCGGATCTGTCAGCTGTTTAGCCTTCCACCCGTACCAAATACTGCTCGCAGCTGGTGCTGCAGACGCTTGTGTTTCCATCTATGCTGATGACATCTCACCACCAAGATAAAACAACAAAAACAAAAAAAAAAAAGTCAAAGAAAACTCATGCGGACTCTGAGTCTGAATCTGTTAAGATACACATTCGTTAAGCCTCCAAGGCTACTGATGTTGGAAAAAGTGAAAAAAGTAATGTTTGCATTGCATTTGGTGGAGAGGCTTCAGGAAATAATTTCATTTCATACGACTCAACAAACACATAGCTGGTATTGCTATTGGTAAGTATGGTGACGTCAACATGTTATGGTATGGTATAAAAGTTGTGTACATATTTCTTTTTCTTTTTCTTTTTAGTGTTTGTGTGTTTTTTTTCTTTTTCTTTTCTTTTGCCAGTCTTGTTTCTCTAATTTGTAAAAAATCCCCTCCCCTCCCCCTCTCTTTTCTAAATCTTTGCATTTATATATAATTGAAATTCCTTGTGATTATGTTGATGAAGCTTTCTGTTTTTTAAAATTCTTCTTATTATTTGTCTTCCATCTCTGGTCATTTGGCTGGTTGTGTTAAGCCCATTACTTATACATTCAAAAATAAGATATAACCAATCGACTTAGACCGATGTAGATGTATGATCATGATTAACAAGTTTGAAACATGTTTACAAAGATTTTGTTATGAGGTTAATTATTTAATTTTCTCTCCTTTTTTCAAGTTGTGACGTTAGAGAAATAGAAATTCCAATCGTAAAACCAATACTCGAATGTTAATTTTATAATACACTTCTTTTATTAAATCATATTTAGTCAAACTTATTAGCATATACATAATCATACTTATTAAAATCAAAAATAATTTTTGCTCACTACTATAAAAGATCGAAGTTGAATCAGAAGTTAACGGAGTTTTTTTCGGACATTTCACTTCCTGACCATACTCGGCCCAGAAGTCCCCGGCGCGCCGGTTGTTCTCACGTTTCCAAGCACATTAAGATCTTCAAAAAGTCGATACGAAGGAATATACTGGTTTAAACCCGAACCCGGACTAGAACCAGTAGGACTAGTGTTGTAATACGACGCCGATCGTACACCTGAACACGTGGTGGGAGAATATGGATTGCAATAGTAACCAGGAGTCGGCGCCCACGGTGGAGAAATGTAGTCCGATTGCTGTTGAGCCGCCTGAAAAGTGGGTACTTGTGCGTCAAATTCCGGTTGACCTTGAGTCGCCGCCCATGGCACGACATAGCTGCTCGACGGCACTTGTGTTTGGTTTTCCAGAACGGGTGAATCCGGAGGCATTTGGCCGACGTTTGACGGAGAAGTACTCGCCGTTGACAACGTGATGCTCAAAAAATCGATCATGTCTTCCGAACTCTTTTTATGCGCCGGTGGTGGTGGTGGAGGATCGGAGAGAACCATAGCCATAGTCAATGGTGGATCCGCCACAGGTTTTTCTTCGTTTTGAGTTCCATTATGCCTGCAAATATATCAAAAACAAGTTCGATTTTAGCTTTTTAGGGTTTATACACGTAAAAGGGATTCAATTTCATAAATCATAAGTTCATAATCGACCTGGTAGCCATCGAAGCAGAATCGTTTCCCTCTTCCTCTATTTCACCATGAACTATTGGATTCGAATTTACTTCTGTGTTTTCCACTTGTTTCATACGAGAATTGTTTGAATCAGGTGGATGATTTACAGGAATCGGGGAACCCGATGCAATAGCATCATGTTTCTCAACAGTCTGTTGCAACATATCGTTGAATTGAAGACCTTGCCGGAGAAGCTCCTCATCGGTTGTAGAAGCTAACATTTGTCCGAGTTTCTTCTGGTTTGATCGACATTGATCAATAAGATCAACGATTACTTCATCTTTTACAGCCTGAATATATAAAATAACACGATATAAATTTGAAACCCCACCACTTATAATTCATATCTTTATTCATGCATCAATCGTATTCATACCATACGATCTTTTGGGTCAACTGCTTGCAACATTTCTGATAAAACATCCATAACACTCCTCATAGCATCCAAAGTCGAGAAACTAACAACCAAAAAATTAATATAAATAACAGTCTCAATATCATATCAGTATAATTGTATAAGTATAAGTATACCTCAAAGTCTCGCTTGAGGAAGCTGTGGGATCATGTCTTGATGAGGAACTAGCTTGAGAATGTCCATGGCTAATTGGAGGTGTAATAATAGGAACCGAATTTGATGATCTTCGGGGAAAATCAACACCATAACGCTGTTTCCATGAACATAAAATCAACAACTTTCTCTCTTTTTGATTATTTGATTGATGTGGATTGGATATTATATAGTTACTTACCCTTAGTTCCTCATAAGCATGGAGATATTGAGCGGTTTTTCCTCCACGACCTGTAAATGCTTCTTGCCAAGTGTCTATCAGCACCAAGATTTTCTCCCTTACACGCATATGCGCCTGCACAAATGGATTTTCCATTAAATTTATAAAACTAAAGCATTTAGGGAAATTAGTGAGAAAAAAGAGAAAATGGAAACCTTTTTCTTAACAATTTTGATCATCTCATGAAGTATTTTCCTCTCAGCCATTTGTCCATGAATGTTTTCACTACAGTTCTTCACCAATGTTTCCAACAACTGCATGCATAATCCACATTGATTCAATGGTTTTTGTTTAAATTTGTGAGATTAAAATTTGAAAGTTTAAGAAGAAATGAGATACCGTTAAGGAGAGTAGCTGAACATTTGGATTCTTGTGTTGTAATCTAGTTCTAAGAGCTTTAATGTAGTCTTTTGCAAGCCTGAAATCACCGACATAATGGAGAAATTTGGATTATTTCACCTCAGTTGCATAATTTCTTTCTATCGATGTAAAAAAAATTACATATGACAACACAAAAACCGAAAATCTCATTATGAAAAAGCTATTGATGATCTAGATTATAGATAGATGCATTACCATTGTCTAGAATTGATTGTGTCACATATTCCGATATTGATCCGCCAATCAGGACAATTTAAGAATTCGCTGGTGGCTTTATCGACTCGAGCATAAGCTGATATCACTGATGGTGATGGTGAAAATGGAAGCATGGGCATCATCTTGCTCTAATTTTCTTGTTTCCAGATTGCTGTTTCATTCGATGATTATTTGTTGGAACAGGAATCTTACGGGATTTGATTGTTTATATGGAAGGGGGAAATGAAAGGAGAAAAAATGGGCGATTTCCATGGATTTTTGATGGGAGAAAAAGCTGCCGAAGCATTTTTTTGGTACAAAATGCAAAGAACGAATAGTGGTGTATCTCAACAGATTTCCGGAGAAAACGGACATGGTGAAACATGATTTGTGTTTTTGACAGGAGTCGTGGTTTCGTTAATAAAAGAGTAAATTACAGAAATGGTCCCTCAGGATACACCTATCTTCAATTTTGGTCAACTTTTGGGATATTGATGCCAACAATTTCCAAATCAATAACATTTGGTCAAGGTTCTAAAAAACTCGTCATGACGCGTCCTGATTCAAAGGCTTGTATTTGACGTCAAACTTTAACAAAATGTTGTCTTAATTCATATATGTAATTAAAACTGAATAATAGTAGAAAAAATATATAAAATTATTAATTATATACAAAATTGCCGTTTAAAGTCATACCTTACAAACTACGTCACTTGCCACAGCTCGTAAAAGTGTGAGGTTTGATTTGTCGTTAAGTCACGTCTAACGTTATTTTGAACCATTCATTTGGTCTTTGCAGGCGTTGCTATCCATTTGGCTCCGTTAAATGCATGTACAAAGACGTTATTTGCCTTTATATTTATCCACTTTTGTTTTTAGAGTTATAGATTTATTTATTTTTTTTGTTAGATTTTTTAAAAATACTTTTATTCTTGGTATACTCAGTTGCTACCAACATTACCCCCTACATGACTCCACCAATGTTGCCTTCGACTCTACAATGCTGCCATCGGATCCACTAATGTCGTCGCACGGCTCACCAGCCTCATACAATCATCATCGCAACCATTACCACCAACAAATTAATTGAAGAAAGACAAAATGCTTGAAGTAACAAAATGCTTGGGATTTATACTTAATACAAATCACCTTTGACTCAAACTCACACATATGCGAGTTCGATGATGTCAGATCTAAACAAATTCAAACACTTCAATGGTTTGATTTTGGGTTTCAGATAAAAAAAAAGTCAAATAAAAATTAAAAACCGAGATAACATCTCTGTCTGACTCGAAGTTGGGTCATGAAGAAGACAAACATTTCCCAATCGAAAAAAAAATCAAACAAAATCTTTAATTTTTCCATGAATTAATCCTGGAAGCCAAATCAAATTTTTTTTGTTGATCATGAAAGTCAATGTGAAAACACAAAAGCACTCCACTGGTTTCATTTTTTTTTCTTCCATAAATCTTGGTTAAAGATCTAGGTTTACGTGATAGTTAAAGATTCGGGTTTTGCTCGATGATTACAGATTTGAGTTTGTTTGAGAAAATCAAATAAGACACAAAGATGAAGATGATAAGAGACAAGTGAGAAGGGATTCTGATCCAAAAATGAATATGAACCGAAGCAGATCCCAAAGGAAAAAACTCAGAAATCAGATAAAAAATAAAGCACCTTCACCATCTTCAAACCGAATTCGGTAATAACGTAATGTCCGGGCATCAAAACTGTAAAATGATAATGATACACTAATTAGGTTGGCATTTTCTGAATATGTTTCCAAATCTCATACCGAGAAAATCAAGTTTGTTGAATCAAAATGATAGTCTTTTTCAATTATGTTCTTCACTTTGTTTTACTTTTAATGATTAGTATTGTTAGATCATGATGCTTATTTGGAAAATAGAAAACAAACTACCAACATAATCAATTAATCAAAACATCATGATCTATCAATTAAATATGTTTCTACAAATCCAAGCAACAAAACTTAAACTACAAGAGGATTTGATGTGTTAACTTATTTGATGATCAAAAAGAAAGCATAAGAAGATCCAAAGTACAATACATCTATTATAGCTGTATCCCAAAGAAGAAATCCAAGCAAGCAAAACTTCAAACCTCATTTTCTTGGTGATCAAGAAACTTCGAAACCCATGTTAGGTTTAGTGTATCTGGATAAAAGTGAGAGGAGAGTGGAGGAAGAGAGCAAAAATAAAATCATCTTATTATATCAAGGATTTGAATGCTTTTATACTTTCACAATTCTTATAAATTTGCTTAATATCCGAGCAAGATTTAAAATAAGTAATTATCTATTTAAGATAATCATCTTAATATAATAATACTAGGCGAATGGCCGCGCGTTGCGCAGAAAGATCTATATAGTTGAAATCTTTACAAATATATGTTTTTTTAAATATAACAATAACGTTGTTTTTAAATTTGATATAATAATTCGTATACTAAATTGATATAATATATTGATTATTTTGAATTATATGATAATATATACATTTATTCTAACTGCATAATCTCAATCGTTTGAACGACTTCTACCCGCGAGTTACACATGAATAAAATTAAATATAATATATGGTTTAATGTTATTTATAGTTGTTGTTATTGTTAATTTTAAAATCTGTTTGTTTAACATTTTAATTTCTATCATTATAATTATTTAAAACATCAAACATTGTTTTTTAATTTTAAAGGTAACAATATAATAATTTATATAGAGTTATTTTTAACTATTGTTATTATAAGTTATTTTAAGCTACTTATTTGAAAATTTTTTTATGATTATAAAAATATCTTTAGGAAATATTTTAGTTAAATTGAGATTACATTTTAGTTTTTTGCATTTAGTACTACAATTTATCACTTTTAACTATTAACAAAATATTCAGTGACTTTTTTAAGTGGAACTGAAATTTATATTTAAGTTGACACTGTAATGTTATATTTAAATTAACAATATAAGTATTTTGTCAAAATTGTTCAAAAGTTGTAGCTTTAAACTGATAATGGTTTACATACAACAACATATTAAATTTAATAAATTAAGTATAATATGTTAAAAGTTAAAGTCATAACTTTATAAGTATAAGTAAATATATTATTTTAATATTGAAATTTAGTTTATTTACGGTTACACTTTAGGTTTGATATTTATTTAACCTTATTAACCAAATTATAATCATTATTAAAAAGACAGTACAATTTATCACTTTTAACTATTTACAAAATATTATTTGGGTTGTTTAAGTTAAACTAAAATTTATATTTAAGTTGACACTGTAATATTATATTTAAATTAATAATTTAAGTATTTTATACAAATTGTTCAAAAGTTATAGCTTTAAAATGATAATGGTTTACATCTAACAATATATTAAAATTAATAAATTAAGTATAATATGTTAAAAGTTAAAAAACATAACTTTATATGTAGAAGTAAATATATTTTTTAATATTGGTATTTAGTTTATATATGATTACACTTTAGGTTTGATATTTATTCAACCTTATTAACCAAGTTATAATCATTATTAGAAAGAAAGTGAAAAATTATGGAAGTTTCAAATGAATGTGTTGAAAGGAAAAATGCTTCATTTATAATATAGTATGATCCTTCATTTAAATCTTTTGATTTATTATATAATAGTCATTCATTTTTAATTTCTAATTAAACCATTAAGTATTAATGAATAACAAACTAGCCCTTAAATTTATTTATTGCTTTTAGATTATGCTGTGTAGGGGTTGGCAAAACCAAAACCAAAAACTGATAAACCAAAATGCCTCAACAAAATAGAAACCAAAAATCAAAACCAACATAAAACCGATAAAACCGACGATTAGGGTTTTGTTTTTTCTAAAACCAAAAAATTAAGTTCGGTTTCAATTTCACTTTTAGGAATGTAAAAGCTAAGTAAAACCGAACCAAACCGATTCCGTGAATTATATATGTTTATATTCATATTACTTGAGTTATAATCACAAATAGCGGTTTGTTCTGATGGTTAAAGAGTTGGGGCTTTGACAGTGGAGGTGGCAATATATATATATATATATATATATATATATATATATATATATATATATATATATATATATATATATATATATATACTAGCCGTTTACCCGCGCCAAGCGTCTGGTGCATTTTTTTTACTTTTTTTAGAAATTAGTTTTAGCCATACACTGTCATTATTAAGTTTTGCGTTTATTGTATGGTACTAATGAATTAATTATAGGAAAAACTAAATGTTTAATACATATTTATTTATTATAATTATCGGTAAAGCTTAAATTATCATTTCTTAACTTAGCTATCTCATTGTGTTTATTTGATATTATAATATTTTACCGTTATAAAGTGAAAAAATTATTTCAATTTTTTTTTTAAATCTAAACAATTTAATACTATAAATGTTTCTTATCTCAAATGTATGATTGTTATAAGAAAATGCCTTAAAATTTTTAGCCGATATGTGTAACATGTTTATTCATGGAAAAATAGGACCATTTTAAATATTTTATTGATCCAATGTTAACATGTTTAATAGTTTAATGAAAGAACTTATCCTTCAATAACATTTTTTTTTCCAGAAAATCAACATAAATGATAAGTAAAACTGTATATGATACAGTTATTAAACAAAAAATGTTCTTTAAATGGAAACAAAAAGGTAAAGATTATGACTTTAAAAATTGTATGGTAAAACTTTCATTTTTCTTCATATTTAGGGTCGACTTCTTAGCAACATGCTCAAATTACTTATTTCCCCTTTGAGATAGGTAAGTTGGAGACTTCCAATAAAACCTCGATGCAGAACCATTCTAGAGCAATAATGAGTATCTGTGAAGTAATAAAGTCTGGTAGTGAGTTAAACAAATAAAACCAAAAAGAACCGCCCCTACAAATAGTTAGAACATAAATACATTAGTGTCTCCAGTTAATGAAAATACCCTTGATAGCCAACAAATGACAATTCTCAACCTTACCATTGAATATATTATCACTTCGGTACCTCCAAGACAACTTTTTTAAAGAGCCCACGGTGGTTGTGGAGCATGAAGCAAACCTTAACAGATCAGGAAGAGAGCAGCCAGCTGCCTATATCTCCTTCCACCATAAGTTTAGTCTTTTTTCCTACAAAGTCAAGTAAAAACTAAACATTATATTTTAGTAAAGGATTCTTTTGTTCGGGGCAAGGTTAAAAGAATAATAGTCAGGGAGAGTGCTAAAATACCCCATCCCCACGATAAATGCAACAAACAACCTTAGTGAATTTTTAACATGAAAAAGGATAACATTTCATCCTTACCATCCTGCCAAACATAAAACTATACATAACATGCGAACAAGAATTGAAATTCCACGGGTTTTTTGATTGATTTTGAAAGGATTTCATGAATTTCAATAGAATCAACTCACTACTCACTTGTAATCCAACGCAAGATTTGAATGGAATTGAATACCAATTCGGGCATAAATCCCATAGAATCCAACCAACAAAACACCACCCATCCCATCAGTACATTAGTTTCTACTTAATTTCATATAGAAAAACATGTTTATTATAGTATGTGTTTACTCACAGATAAGTGAACGCCTTTCGATTTGAATAAGTCTTAATTTTTTCTGCTTCCATGATAGATGTGCTAACTCACAGATAACTTTTGTTTGACATAATCAAGCTGCAAATCATTCAGTGTTCTGTCTAATGCTACCGGTACATCTTTGGTCCATGATCAGAGCACCTACAAATTATCATAAATTATTAACTAACTTGGAAGTCTATATGTATATATGTTAGTGTGGAAATAACTTTAGTAAGAGTATCATGAATTTGGAACAAATAGATATTGAAGGATTGGATGGACCAGACCCATCATTATCAACTTTTACAACCACCATTCTTCAGAGGATTGACCATTTTCCAGCAGTTGAGAATGTTGTTGACACCAAGATGGACCATTGGACTCTGACTATAGACTTTGTCCATCTGCATATGTTAATAGCCTCAGATAAAATTTACTAAGCAAATTATACTATCAAGGGTAAAAAAGGTGGAATTACGGCATTTTTATAGCATTTTTTATGGTGTGTTCTAAATCAAAAGGAGCATTTTGCATGCTTTTTATTACGGTAAAAATTGGCATTTTTCATAGCAAGCATTTTCATAGTAACCATTTTTTTGTTAAAATGATCACTCAAGTGAAAATATGATGCTAAAATGTATTTCACTCTTATTTTTTTACATAACAAATGATCATTTTTAATTTATTTAAACAATGATCTAATGAAGCTATTACATTCAAGGCTATTAAGTTCTTATTTTTTTAGTTTTAAAAACCAAAATTCAAATAGATTTTACAGTACCTTAGATATACAGTAGCTTAATTATTATCAGATGAATTTACAGCTGGTTTGGGTAAGAAACTTGTAGAACATGATCCATCTTTTGATCCAGCTAGAGCCATTATTATATCAGCTTGAAAGAGAACAAACAATGATTTATATATACGGCAAAATTATTAACAAAATAATGATAAAAGTTAAAAAAGAAGGGCTTATATTTGACCTTATTTTGGTGGTCATCATCCAACACATGAGTTTGAACAACATAAAATATGGTGATCTCAGGATTGGGGGTAGAGCCTGAATCAGTATTACCAATCAGCTACTTCTGCTTACAGTAACAGAAACATAGTTACATGTCACTATCAATGTGGTTAATATTGTACTTTATTTCTTATATATTTTCATTATCATAAAAGAAATGCAAGAAAATTGTATTATAACATAGGTTCTGATATAACTGATATAATTGAAGAGTAGAAATCCGATAACATTTAATAAAACTATTGCTTAAATTAAGATAGATATTAGAGAAGGATAACCACAACTACCTTTCTTTCAGAAGTGGTAATTCTATGGCAGTATGTCATGTTATTTCTGTCTACTCTCTACAAGGAGACACTATCTTGGTCCTCTCTAAAATGAGACAAGGTCTTATGTAGATGGAGTATGTAACTATACAACATACCACTCTGGTGATAAACATTTCTATCAATGAATAATGATGGTCTTAGGCAGAGCAAGGGTGTTAAAGGTAGTAGTTTGACAATCTTTGGGTTTGACTACTTGGTTATTACCTACAAATTAATGTACACCTACTACATACCCCAATCGTATCTTCTACATCCTAGGTCTTCTCGTTCCATCATCTGGCTTATTGAATCAAAATAAAAAAATAACAAAATTAGAAAACCCATAATTAATCAAAATTATAAAAAAAGGGCTTAAAGGCCAAAATTATATTATACTCTAATATATTCATACACTTTACAATTTTTGAAAAAGTTCAAAAAACATTATCATATTGAAGGAGAAAAATAATAAAAAAAAACAAAAAAAAACTTATAATTGAGATATGTTATGCCAAATCGACTCATTCCCACTCCTATTTTTATGTAACCAAGTAGACGTATTTATTCTTAAACAATGTCACTAACTTGTTGTGTCAATGGACATATCTATTAGACTCCCATTTTTACATGCACAACAATGATATATATGCACTTCAAAAGTAGCATATGGGTATGTTATTTAGGAGATGTACTAAAACCAAACTATAAGGTATGATTAAGTCCTATATGTAAGTGATCAAATATCCATGTGTTCTAAATATCAATATGAACGCGAGACATGTGATGTCGTCAATCTAAAACGTTTAATATTCCGTTTCTCAAGAGCGATTCATGGTGACCTCAAGAGCAGATTGCAAAATCGATCAAATATCATTTCAGTATGAGTATGATCATACTTTTATTGGCAACACCGAATTATCGGGGTTTTGAATTCTAACACATTTTTATGTTTTTTTTTTGCCTTCTACCAAGTTACTCATTATTTTCCAAATAATAAATTTTTTATTGTTAACTATTTTGTTATTTGCCAACTATATTGTTTATTTGATTATATATTTATATTATAATTTTTTTTTATAAAATATAAAATTTGAAGATTAGAGCATTTCTTTTTATTTTTTAGTATTTGTCTTTTCTGTTTCCTCTAGAATCTATATGTTTTGTAGTCTAATAGGAAGATTGTAGTCCAATAGGAAGATCATTTATGGTAATCAAACATAGATGATAACAACCGCTATGAATAACAACTAGAAGTTTATCATCTTCTATGAAACGATAAATGCATGATGTTTTTAGTGATAACTATACTTAGTAGTCAATATTAAAAAAAACATCAATGAAAACTTTCTTTATGAAGGATTTCTATTAGATTATATTTATTCATGCTTTTTAAAGAAATTTTCATTTTTACAGATTATGTTTTTGTTATAAAATCATTTTTTTACATATTGATTTCATGCATGCTGGACTACGTTCTCAAACGAACACAGAATTTCGGTTACATACATGAGGATATCAAACTCTAGTTATTACATAATTAGGAAATAGAATCATAGACTTGCTCTATTATACCGAGGATCAGGATCATATGTTGCAAAACGAATTGCATATATTCTTCAAAGGCGGTAGCAAGAGCTTTTGCATAAACCGATGCTCAGTTGTTTCATTTTTTCTAACATTTTTTTAATTGTAATGGAAAATCTAGAGATTTGAACATAACAATCAACAATCTCAAATCAAAGGTTTGTTCTATATGAAAATAGATATTTCCAAAATTTCTCAAACAAGTTATAGAGATATTTGACAATTAAAGTATTTCCAAATGGTTATAATTACTCTTAAACTAAAATCCATTCACTTTTAGATCCAAAACATGCTAATGACGTACAGTAAAAATAATCATATGGATTTAGGTTAAAAATGCCACTTAATTTGCGAAACCCTAAAAACATTTACCCCATTCTAATGGGATTCCCTCTTATTCCGGGTCTTTTGTTTCCGTTTATGTAGCTGGTGTTTCTCCTTCCGAATTTCATGGAGGATGACAACAAGTGCAATAATGAAAACATAATCCACATTTGGATACACAGTCACAGTAAAAGTATCTTTCCCAAGTGCAATGCTTTGTATAGTGTACTCCTTGTGCATCTGCATTTCACCATTTTTGTAACCACGTGTTAAAGTCTAATATTCCATTTATAACCGACTACTTATGCTTAATTACCAACACCCCTTTCAAGGATCTTCATGAAATCATGAAGAATTTGTGTCAAGATGAAAATAGGGTTTACCTGTGCAACAATGGTGGTGGTATCACCAGCATAAATAGTCCATGATCGGGTAAACCAGCTGCCTCTGACTTTGAAATCACAAACATTTCCCCTTTCATTAAATCCCAAGAACACATCAAGGGAAAACTCCCGAATTGGATCAAAGAAGACTGTTTTGCACTGAAGATAATGTCTTTTGGGTCCGAACTATCTCCCCTAAACACCACCCATCTTTTGTAAGCACTTATCAGCTGTTCATAACACCATCAAAAAGATTTTGTAAGTTAACTGGCATTTTTTTTGGCTTTTAGGGTGTAACTGATACTCGAATTAGATACGAGGAGCACAAATGTTTGTAGTAGGGGAAACAAAGGGAAGAGAAATCAGAACCTTTTTCTGGAACGATACGATCGGATTACCAGAAGCATCGACCAAAACACGGCGACGGAGAGGGCTTACTTTTCCTTGGACTTTGAATACCACGTCGCCGTTTCCGTTGGTGACGGCGAAGTTTCCGTCAACGAGAGACAGCACTTCCCTGACTATAGTTAGATTTACCGGACACGGAGCTAGGTAGCGACGGCTAACGACGGCGATCGGCGCCATATACATCGGAGAAAAGAGGAGGATGGTGGGTGAATTTGATTTTAATTTTTTTTTTCTCTTCAGGAACATATTCGCGCCATTTATAAACAAAGCGCATTTGTAACTTGTGTAGCAAGATAATCAAAAAGCCAAATGATCAGCATTTAAAAAAAATTTGAATCATTTGATTTTAGAACCCTATTTAAAAAAACGAGTTTGGATATTTTTTTTTTCAAGAAAATGACACATTAGCGCTACTATGTATTTTGATTTTACCAATTCGGTCCTTAAAATATTTTCCGTGTTTTCTAGATCATTAAAGTTGTTTTGTCGGATCAATTTGGTTACTTTGGACAAAATAAAGGGTAACCCGATTAGTCGATTACCCCTTTGCCATATAGACACCTGTTGACCATTTCTAAATTTTCCTTATCTACATGTACAAACCAACAAAGAACAATATTGCAACAAAATGGTGTTCACTCAGAAGCTTTACCTAGGAAGGATTCTCCTCCCTGGGGTCGTCCATCAAAAATAAGCAAAATCAAAATTCATCTCCCCCATCCCAACGCTTCAGTTACCTACTAAAAAGTCAAAACTGAAAGAAATTTTCTTTAAACCTTCATCTCAATGCTGTCACATCTTCAACGGGAGACTTTGCTTCCTTCTTAATGCCTCTAAATTGCTTTCCTTGTCAGATCTATGTCTACTCAACAACAATACCCAAGCTTCCCACGCCAATAATGCTAGTACATCTCTTCAATCGATCTGTTCAGGTATATCAGACTCTTTTTATTTTATTTTATTTTTTTTCATATTCATCGTTTAATTTTGTGAGTGTTTTCTTTTCTGGAAGTTTCTCTAGTTTCGACAAGTCATAGTAAAATAGCAAAATCAATTTCTATAAACATTTTCGAACTGACATGGTGGAAGAAGGTTTGGTTTTGTGAAGAAGAAAGTCATAAATTGAATAAAATAAGGAACTGCAATTGCTGAGAAGACGTCATCGCGGAGTTGGTTCCATAAATGGATTTGTTATTCTTAGGGAGTCGATTTTGAGGGCGAGTCTCCGATTTTGACTTTTAAATTGTATTTGAGAAAGGAACAAATTGTATTTTGACTTTTCAATGGGAAAAATGCTTATGTGGAATATGAAACTGGCTAATATAGGTTAGAAGGACTAAAAAAATAGGCCACTTCAAAGTTTGTTCCCTTTAAAGGCTCGTAAATAATTTTAGGGACTGGATGGGTAAAGTCGAAATACATAGTAGGGCTAATGTGTCATTTCCTTTTTTTTCCTAACAAAATTCAAAATTTTATAATTTTGAACATGCTCATCCTATTAATTTTGAACATGTATTACAATGAGTTTAGAATATGTTTTTTGGGTATAAATTTCGAACATTTTCTTGATATATGTTTTTCTAAAGTCATATATGCAAGGTTACAACTTATAAGGTTACAAGTCCAATTTTGGATAGCATTGTCACTAATAATAAGGATATACTACTTCAAATATCACATGTTCACATTATTCAACATGTGCAATAGACTAAGTCAAGTCAAAGTAGAGAACTAGTATAGCCATGTATTTATGATTCCAGTTGTATTTCTACTATATTTAAACATCATGTACTTACATATATCAATATATGAAAACACTCAAATTCAGAGTGTATCTTTTCACTTATATGGTATCAAGAGCCAATTAAGTTTTTTTCCCACCGATTCACGTCCATGAGTAACCATCATCTTCTTTTTGTTCTTGCTGCCATCTCTACCTCTCTCAAATTTTAGATTCTATCAATAAGTATCAAACTTGATCGATATAACTATTCCTTAGGGAGGAGCACCATCATCTTTGCCCTAGAAACTGTTAGATTTTAGGGTCTTAAGAATATAAAATATACTTGGATATTTCTTGGACCGTGATTGCAATCACTTTCCAACATCAATGATTTCGACCCTATAGCCTGGGGTATCACGAAATCAGATTTGGGATAATCCAAAGGATTTCAATTTAGAAGTCAGACCACTTCTAAATTAGAAACACATAAAATATCTTATTATTTTGTGTTCTTGAGAGATAGAGCATATCAACGTATGATTTTTGTATATGAAAGTTCCAATCCCTTTTTATGGAACGAGAAGATGTTCTTATATTAGAGGAAAAGGTGGTTAAAACTGGTTAAACCAAAAAATGGCGCCAAAACATGGTAGTTATTGGACACAACCGATACTTAGATCATCATGATGTCATCAATATGTTTTTGGCGGATGGCTCTGCCCCTTGGACCCCACGAGGGGCGCTACCCCTCGACCCCTCCAAGGGGCTGCAACCCATTGGAATCCTGCAACCAGGGGCGCTACCCCCGGACCCCTGTATTCCCGAGTTCATATTTATCACTCCGAGTGTGCACCCTGCACCTTCTAGCTCAGTTAGTAAATGGAGCTCGACCTATCTCATTATTAATAATAATTACACCATAATATGTTGATAACACTAAAATCACCAACATTCCTCCCCCATTTTAATGCGATCCTTAATTAACTAAAAGCAAACACAAAATCAAACTTATGCATAAATGAAAATATCTTGAAGATTGAATTTTCATATTAGTATAATATACATGTCAAATACTCGAGAATCAGGGTGTCCTAAGGATTGAACCCTTCAACTCATTTTGAGTAACTGAAGATACGATACACATAAGTTAAACACAATATCTAATGTTTCATACATGACACTATTACAACCATGTGTCCTATCCATTCATGAGTGCATAAAAGCCTTGCCCATGCTTTGTGTAACATCCCGAAATTCAGGTACAACTATTTAGCCCTTCTTTTATTCAAAGTGTCAAGTTAAGCCCTTAAGAGTAATTGGTAGCAAATGAGTACGCTGGGCGTACTCAAGAGTACGCTGCGCGTACTCATGCGCTTATTTTGGACGCGGGCTCGTCTGAGTACGCTGGGCGTACTCAGGGTTACGCTGGGCGTAATGTGTCCAGGTGCAAACCCTAATTTCTGACTTGTGCCCTATATATTAGATGCTAAGGCTTAATTCTCAGCCTCCATAGCAGTGAGTAAAACCCTAAGAGAGAGCTTTTCATCGTTCTTAGTGAGTGTGTGTGATTTTGGAGCTAAAAGTGCCTTGGTGTGTTAGTGAAGAAGAAGGAGAGGAGTTTGTGGAGACTAGAGTTTGAAGTGCAAGTTTGGATTTGAGATCTACAGAGGAAGGAGCTGCATTTGGAGGTATAAAGTTCAAAACTTTCCTTTTCATTTGGTTTGTTGCTTCATGGACCATTTTAGGGTTAAAAGTCCCAAAGGTGGAGACTTTATGAGTGTAATGTGCTCCATGGACCTAGATCTGTCCCATTTCAGTGGTATTTGTGTTGTAGATCAATAAAGTTCCCATCTTGGTCGTGGATATGAGATCATGCTTGAGTATTGGGCTTTCTAGTGTTAGGAAATGGTATATTTTGGGTGTTAGTGACTTGTTCAGCCATGCAAAGGCTTAAAGTCATCGACTTTATGGATTAAGAGGCTTAAAAATGGTTAGATCTAAAAGTTGGACGTGAGTCTTAACTGTTTAAGACCTCAAGGGCTAAGGGACTGAAACTGGGATTTACGCCGGGCGTAATCCCAGTACGCGCGGCGTACGGGGAGGCGTTCCCCGATTCTGAGACTGCCGGGTACGCCCAGCGTACACATCTGGTACGCGCAGCGTAACCCGGAGGGTTGACTTTTGGTTGACTTTTAGGGTTTGGTCTATAGTGGGGCCTTTGAGTTATGAGAGGGGTAAAATGGTCTTTTACCCTTCTGAGAGTACTAAGAGGAGGAATAGTCTAGCCTTGAGAGATGTATTGATTGAGAGTATTTATTTTACATGATTAGGCGGAGGCTAGACCTGATTTTACAGAGTTCGAGCTTACCGAGTTACCCGAGGTGAGTCTTCTCACTATACTTTACTTAGAGTGGTAATTAGAGCTATGAGACAGAGTATGCTGTATGCTTTTGCATGATGTGATTTCTATGTGTTATATGCTATGTATGTTACAGAGTTTTCAGAGTTAGGACCGGAAGGTCCACAGTTAGGGCCAGAGGGCCCACAGAGTTATGGGACTGGAGGGTCCCACAGAGACACCTTGACCAGAGGGTCATCAGAGTTATAGCCTCGAGTGGCTAATATGTGTTGTGTGTAGTATTTTGGGGAACTCACTAAGCATTTATGCTTACAGTGTTGTGTTATGTGTCTCAGGTACCAGCGAGGATCGCGGGAAGGCGCCGGCTTGATCAGTACACACACGGGGAGATTTTATTATGATCTTGGGATATGATGTTATGATTGACTATGTGATCCAATGGTGTTTTTTATAACGATTATGAATGAAAATGTGCTTTATAAAATGTGAAAAATTGTTTTGAAAATTTGGGTGTTACAAGTTGGTATCAGAGCCTTGGTTTGAGGGATTCGGATTCGTCTTCGGGCATATTTGAACTCAAACTGAGGATTTGAGAGAAATTTTGATGACTAAAAACTTTTTTTAAAGAGTAAAAAGAGTTTTGAGACAAACAGAGCAGAGCCGTGTGTACGATCAGCCAGCGCCCGAACGGTGATTTCCCAAAATACCCTTGTAATTAGTGTTATGAGATATATTATGTTATGATATATGATGAGTTATGCTGTGCATGCTAGAGTAGACTAGGTATTCTTATTAGGACTAGGGTGGCCTGATATGTGATGCCTTGGTCTAGGAGTTTTGTTGCTAGGGATACTTGAGAGTGTTTAGATAGCAGCGAGGAGTTTATGAGAGAGCTGCTAGTGAGTAGCATGTGGTTAAAGAGAGTAGAGTACTTGGGACTTGGGGCTCCAAGGAGGAGGACTTAGAGTGGATGCTGATGCGGTGTGGACGGTAGTATAGGGCCCGTACTACTGAAGACACCGGAGCAGTGCACACCCTAAGTAAGAATCCATTGGGTACTAAGGAACAAGTAGGGTGGAGTTATCGAGTGCGAGTATACTC